CGAGACTACCAAGGAGGAAAAAGACTTTGATATGGAGCCTGCCAATTCCGACCTGCCGCCCGGTGTCGACTGGCGGATGGAAATCAAGACGAATCCATTCAACGTCTTCAGTGCCAAGAAGTTCCCCGGCTTGATGGAGAGCACCCAATTAAGCAAGACGGTTGCGGATCAGGGATGCCGAGTTCGAATTCGACGTGATGTGCGAATGAGGAAGCGCGATGGGAAATCGAGTGCATTCGAACGACGAGAGGAGGACTTCCGCCGCAGAACCGTCACACCAGCTCCCGAAGACCCTCATGGCATCCGAAACCGATCCCTCAGCAACTCGAGCGAGCATCGGGTACCCTACGCATTTGAGCCGCATCGACGACCTTCTGCCGTTGATGCCTATCATGCTCCTCCGCCACATCCTGGTTATGATTCTGGTCCTCCGCCAAGCCGTAGTTGTCACTTGTCATTTGGAGAGCATCCGACTTCCCAATACGCCACTCCGCGACATTATACGGCGCCTCCTCCTTCGAATGGACACGTCCAACTGCCGGCCGCCGCACCATATCCTTCGCCTGGTCAGGCAACGAATTACGTGAAGCCGGAACAGAGCAATTACGGATACCCTACTCATACACGCAATCCGAGCTCGACCTGTCCATCTCCTGTTCCGTCAGTCAAGCATGAGCCTTCCTATGACAGGGCACCGGGAAATTATGTGTCACCCTCCCCATCGAGATATTCGGAGACCTCGAGTCGGGACTCGCATCATTCATACCCGCTTACGCCATTACTGCCACAACCACCGCACCGGACGTCGCAAACGTCCCTTGCACCGCTCAAGATTGCGGCACTGGTATCTCCTTCACCTCTACCCCCTATCGAGGCCCAGACAGAGCCTGTGCCCGCGTCTCCTATTATTCCCACGGGGGGCAAACGAAAACATCAAGACGTCTTTATGCCGGGTTTGCATAACGTGCAGCGCCAGCAGGATACACAATATGGCCGCTTCAAGGGTCTCAGCCCTGAGCCCTACCGAGGCATTTATTCGCGGGCCAATGGCAAGGTTGATGTGATTCAGTTCAACCGGTACCAATAGGGGCTGGTTTGATGGGGAGTTGACGGCTTGTGTGAATTTGCTCGGGTCCAGGCCCGAACCTCGCTCTGCTACTTTGCCTATACCCTTTGGCGTTCTTGTTGGTGTTGAATTTGGCTAATGTACGTTTTGTCGCTGCCAGTGGACAGTGTGGAGAGAAATATATGGAGACATGGGAGGAGTCGGCGTCGGGAGCAAATACCATTTTCTCTTTTTTACAACCGAATCTTTTTTCATTTGGTTTTTTTCCCTCGGCTAATGCCGTACGATATCTGCGACACCGCTAACAGAGCCCGTATTGCGGCCTTTCCTGTTGATCTACAGTGTGCTTTTACTATCAACTTATATGTCGACTTTTTACGCTTCATAGAGATGGCAACTTTGGGAACGGGAGATGGGAGATACTACACTGAGCTGCCCAGATGGTACAACTCTTTCGGCTTTTGTTTCCTCAGCTCCTCGGCCTCAACAACGGAGCAAAAGTCGACAACCAGGCTCGCCACTCCCTGCGACATTATTTCTGTTTATTATTCATTTCGGATTGGATTGACAGAAGGAACTACCTTTCACGACGTGCGTCCAATTCGTGGCGAGCCATGTGATTGATGTTTTGCAACCATTGTATTTGTTTGGAGAATTTTGGGAAGCTTGGGCCCTCTGCCGTGCATGGCTTTTTACGTTGGAAAGGGGACTTTGAATTTATTATTATTATTTTGCGGCCGTGCGCGGCAACGCGACACATACGTTTGAATGAAGCGTGCACTGAGTTTGACGGACAAAACAAAGCTGGTTTATTATTGTCATTTTTTCTCCATTTCGCCTGGGCTTGCACGCTCATGCCCAAAGTTTGCGAGGGCTGATCAAAAAGCCGGCTCTTGGGAGGCCGGACAGGTACTCCGTAAGGACAATTGAATTAACGCTTCAACCAAGACAGAACTGTGTAGGTGTGACGGCGGGAGCGAAAAGTGCCATACGGGGGGCTGGATGAATTATTATGTGACTGGGACGGAAGTGATGTGGCAGCAGAACAAATTAGAGTCATCACATTTGGATGATAGGAGATGAACAAGGGTCACTGACAGTTGACGGAACCGTTAGTGGGACCAGCCATGTTGAAACGGTCGCTTTGTTTTTTCAACCTTGAGGGTGCTGTTGGTTTGACGAAGGTTAATATTAACAATGGCCGGTTTTGTCGCGTCCGAGGTCATTGGCTGAAGACCAAAAGTGGGTCGGCATGCCTGTGGGGGTCTTTGGCTGGAGAGAGCAAAAAGAGGCACGGAGAAGAAGTGGGGCACTCGGTTGCCATGGCGAGACCACGTGTGGGGTGCAGGGGAAACAATGAGTGTAAGTCAACAAACGGCCAAACACAGATGGGGATGTCAGCGCAGACATACATACGGACGTCTTGCTTGCATCTCAACTATCTCAACCATCTTCTTTTTTCCCGCATTGGCCCTTTTCTTCGAGATTGGCCTTGAGACACGGGCCGGTTTCAGGGCGCCATTGCCCGTACCAAAGAGTTGAAAGGTAGCAGACACCACAGTGACCACACGAAGTCGGTAACGAACAGAAGCCAACTTGAGCGACCATTTGTTTACCGGCAAAACCGGCGCGCACTCATACAAAGTAATTCACAGACCCTTTTCATCCACCAGGAAGAAGACTTGTCCATGATGGGCCCTCCCAGAACGAGAGCCCAGCATTTTCTTGCCCAGAGGGGCAGGTTCCAAGAAGGCTCAATGAAGGACCGCGTGTCGGCCGCGCCGCCAGTGCACTTTCTTGGTCCGCAGGAGAGAGAGGTGCTCGAGCGGCCTGCTTACACGGAACGGTCTGCATTTGCTGCCTTTGAGCCGGCTAACTTTGGGGGACGTGAGGAGAGGCAGCTCCAACCGCGGCTGACGGCGCGCAAGTCTACGACGAAGATGAACATCTTGGGCCAGGTGTGGGAGGGAGTCTGCGGCAGGCTCCGGCTACGGAGGGACGCAGACGACAAAGAAAAGGCCAGGGAGAAGAAGGACCCCGCGAGCAGTGACGCACAAGACGACAGGCCCTCTCGGGACCAAGTCTTTGCCAGCTACCAGCAGCTCGTTGCCTCGGGGTTCTTCTCGTCCCACGCCATACAGTCCGCCCGCCACGGCCCGCCGCCCAACTGCCGGCCGTCTACACCCCAAGGGGCGCCTGCCAGGAACGCCGGCAATCCGCCGCAGTGGCCGCTTGCCCCCAGACCGCTTACACCGCAATCCCAGCCCAAGGCGCAGGAGCCCGCGCCGCAAACCGTCTATTCCCCCGCCAGCGTGGCCTCGTCCCGCGGAACGAAACGCGCTGCCGAGTCGCCTGAGCCCAGCGTCCATGGGGGCGGGGAGGAGGGCGGGGAGGACGAGGAGCACGACGACGGCGAGGATGAGTCTACGCTGGCGCATCGCTTCCTCCCGAAGCGGCTGCGTATATCCGCTTCGCGGGACATTTCGCTCCCCAAGTTGAGGAGCGTTGCGTCGAGGAAGAGTATGCGTGCGGCGGTGGCCTTGGCCCGGAGGAACGCCTCTGTGGGCGCGCAGGAGGAGGACAGCAAGGAGCGTGAGCCGAATAAGCTCACCAAGAGGATGTTGTGGGCTCAGCAGCAGCAGCAGCAGCAGGGGCAGCAGCAGGGCGAAGTGCCTGTTGCGAGAGCGTCAATGGATGTGCTTCCCAGGAGGCGCAACTCGAGCGAGATTCACGGGAGCGTGACTCGCAGGATCCGACGGCCTACTAGTGCTAGGAATCTGAGGTCTGCGGGGATGAGGGACGGCGATGGGGGGCTGAAGGTGGTGCCGGATGTGAATAGGGGCATTCCGAGGGTGCCTGACATTCCGGCCAAGTTTACGTACGGGGAGGATAGGGAGAATGGGGTGCCGTGGAGGGGGCTGAGGAGATAGTGGGTGGGCAGCGTAACTTGACGAGGCCTGGCTGATGAATCACTTATGTTGTGCCCTTGTGGGTTTTCGAAATGGAGGGAGCAGTGCTGCGGTACGTAGCCTGGTCTTGTTGGGATGAGGTCATGGTGATGTATTGTCGAGGTGCGCTTTTAAGACTTTTGTATGGCATCTGGAGTTGGGTCGACAACTTGGGGCATGCGGCAGCGTCATGAGCTCTGCATGGCGGTATGGATCTAATGATTTCCGTGGCTGTACGGAGTATACGGGATATGAGTTATGTCGGTATGATGACGGGCGTTGATGCACATGCGCATTGGAGTGTATACTGGTCTTTGAGCTTTTCGCCGTTTTTCATTTGGGTTGCTTCTGGGTAGGCGAAATATGATGGATGGCCCGGCTCTACTTTGCTCCGTGGTTTCTTTGTCTGCCCAGATACAGAGCACTACCCAGGCATGTAGTTGAAGCTCGGGGCGTTGCACAAACCAGAGACGTTGATTGTTCGTTTTGTGATTACTTTTGAAACGCCTTCCCTCTTGGACCCAAAGAGAGGACACAATTTTTTGCTCCCTCGCTCCGCCACAAGACTCGGTCCGTCCTAAGATACGCCAGGCCTCGGGGCCGCCTCTATGGTCTCGTCGACCGACCGAAGCGGCAGCGGCAGCGGCAGCGGCAGCACGGTGATGCTGGCGGTCCACGTCGCCCCGGGCCCCTGGGACCGAATGCTGGGGATGCTCGTCAAGGCCAGGACATCCCGCGGCCCCTATTATGCAAGTGGTTAGATCTTGCGCAGGGCCGGATTGCGCCAGAAAGACTCTACCACTCTCGCTCCTCGCCGGAGCACATTCCACCGCGAGGGCGGCGACGGCGCGGGCAGCGCTGGCGGGCAGCACGGAAGCGGTGCCACTCTGCCGCGGCTGCGTTTGCGCGAATTCCTCGCCCACGACGCCGTTAGCTTGGGGGGCTGCTCATCTCGGTGCGCGTGTGTACGTGGCATGTGCGGCGTATTACCAGAGGGGGCAGGTGCGCGAGTGTCCCAGCAGCCAGGGGTCGACGCAGGCGCTGTGAAACTCGTGTCCGCAGGGCAGCCGGCGCAGCGGGGAGGGCGGCGCTCGTGTCCGCGGCTCGCCGCAGATGGAGCACCCGGGGACGTCGTGCGTGGTGTTTTGCCCCGTCGCGGCCGTGCCGTCTTGGCTGCCGCGCCGGGAGGGCGGTTCCGGGGCGGCGCTCTGGCCTTTACTGCTCTCGGCGAGAAGGGGGGCGTGTTGGCTTCCGGGACCGGCGGCCGCGTCGGGGGACGGGGAGGGCGCCTTGAGCTTCATGGCGTGCATGTGCGCCGAGGAGGAGCAGGGTGCGCGACGGTGATGCACAGCAGCCCGGGACAGCTCGCCTTTTGTGTCGGGCGCGAAGAAGTTGCATGTGTACATGGCTATATATCTGCGCATGCATGCAAAGGTATATATATATATAATACAATCCTCCTTGCCCGCCGTCGCATCCTCGAGCTTCAGCCCTCCCCCTCCCCCTTTTTTCCTTGTCCCATCCAGGGGAACCGACAGACACGGCCTCTTCCAGTCAAGGAGATTGCTGGGCCTACACGGCATGGCATGCCGATCTTCCGGATACCGCTTGCTTGAGGCAATTTTCTCTTTGGCCAGCATCTGGCAGGCCACAAGGGGCCTTCCTTCACCGCGTCATTTGACCGTTGACCGTTTGTGCTACCCATACTCCCACAACCTGGGATATGCCAGCTGCGGCGGTTTTTTTTGCACATGTTATTGTATGGCCCGCAATTTGGGGGGGGGGGGGGGGGTTTGGGGGG